CTGACGATGCTAGGCACAGTGGGCAAGTCTTCAAAACATTACAAATGGCAAACCGTTTGAGAAAAGGGAGGAGCCAGCACCTGGTGCTGGATCTGAAAAATAACAGCAACTGTACACAACCGCTTTCAAGTTTGCTCACGAAGGCTAACCATACGCTTCCGGTATCTGTGGGCAATCTCGCGGAAACCGTGTGGCCACGTGGTACTTTGACGCCTTTTGGTTGCGACCTTATGCCTTGACCTTTGTTACATTGCTGTTACCCGTAAGACTGATCTAGTACCTAATTGCATAATATCTTCGTCTCATCGTGCATTTCTCGACACAAACACAATAACACTACCTAAAACCTGGTCGGAGACGAAGCAACATCATAAGGCGAATTCCAATACAGCGCTGCATGCAGCAACGGTTCATCTAATCTGACTTAAGCAAGCATCAGTCGAGTGGAAATATCGAATCAAAATTGAATCCAGTTGCCGCCAGCGCAAATTATTCCTTCATTAAATCCACGGTTGCTTTTGAACATACTTCCCTGACCCCTTTTGGATTAGCATAAGGCCATCAGCAGCGTTCGTGAAGGGTCGTGAGCGCCACCGATTAATGGCTCGCAATATCCCTCCAGAATATTTTCCCTCCCTTTGTGGAACTTGTCAGTGCCAACACGATCTGGACGGCAAAGATTGCACGATAAAACACGCTCCTCTCTGATCCGGGCCCGCGCAGAGTTGAAAGGCTTTTTCTGTCAAGCAGGGCAGGTGAGCTGTCTCCTCCTTGCGCGACACATGAAAAGCCCCGAGTAGCACATTTAGGTCGCGTCAATAAGTCAAGGTGGTTTCTATTCTTCCCAACGGTGACCTAAAAGCTGACAGATTGAGTTCTATCTGATTCGTAATTGTGACGTCACAGTTTAAACCACGCCCACCGCACATGCAGTGCGCATAGAGTTACATGCACTGATCGCCTTTTACATGGAATCAGAAATTACCGCGCAAACTTCAGCGATCGTCCAATGGGAGCCTGCAAATCGTGGCGCGTCCACCTTTGTAACGAAGTCACTTACGAAACGGATAGGTTTTGATTTGTGGGTTATCAAAATTGCTCCATGTACAATAGCTTCGCCTGACACGGCTCTACGTTACTCTTTCAAAATTATATTCAAAATTCTATTAGATTACGCATATTTCGTCTCTAATGGCATCAGTTGGTTCCACGGACCTATATCGCTGGTACACGTCTCAAGTCTAGTATCCTTCTCCAGGAGGAACACAGCAACACTGTACCGATGGGGGAGTTTTTGTGATGTAGTAGAATTTATTACCCTAATGCATGATGCTCATCATGGAAACCGATAGCAATTAACTCTCACAACACGGCGCTTCAACCGAAAATAAAACGCTGGTATATACTCAAGTTCGCGGGGTTTATCATCTCAACCAAGAAAGTGCTCACAATGGTCCATTACGCCGCCATTTCCGAGAGGAGCTGGCATGCAATAATTCAATGCACTCATAATAATGAGGGGCCGTACCAACAAACCAGTGACGCATCTGTGTCGTGACGGTTAGCACGCAACCGGGGCTGGGGAGATACACTTGGCAACATCACACGACCAAGAACGTTTCATGCTTGATGGGATGACTTTAATCTCGGGGGATCAGATGAGGGGCCGCGCAAAAATCCACCGGTTTATCTATGGACACTATCAAGTGAGTGTTGCACTCCGCAATCGGGCGTAATTTGATTAGGAGCACTTTATGGCGAGCAGTGGGTTATCGTGGTGTGAAGGATAAAGGCTATCCGTAGGCCGGTAACCATTTCTTGCTGATGGTGTAGAGCCAACATAGTTTAAGCATCCCGCTCACTTTCCTGCTCTGGTCATCGTTGGTATAAAGATTGCTTCATGTTCTCATAGCTGTTCTAACTTATGGTACATAACCGTGTGCTGAGACCACGAGAAGAAGACAATAGGTGTGGAAATGAGTGATGCATGAGGCATCCAGAATTTGACATCATATTTAGCCACTGGCAAAGTTCCCCCTAAGCTTCTTTGTCGCTGTCCATTTGAGTTATTTAAAACCATGGACACGAATGAACATAGCGCTCTTTGCACGGGGGCTGGTCAAGCAATGGGTAATGTCACAGGGCCCTACGTCTGATTCTTGACGAGACTATATATACGATGGGTGTCACTTTAAGCAAGATAGTGCATGGCATCCCTGACATTTCCTGACAAGAGGGCCCACAGGGACTTGGTCTGGTTAGGACCGATATCTCACGAAGCGTTCGGTTGCGATCAATTGCCGTGGGAATTCTTGTAATCTGCTCATCGAGAGAACTTCGCAACATCTTGGAGCCCAAGTTCGGCCGCTCAATTTTCCGCCGCACTACAGTTCAGGGAATCGCAAATGCCATTCGGATGAAATGTCGAGCAAAGTGAGCTGTCGAGAACCTAACTGCTCCAAACTAATGATAAGGATACCGGCAGCTGACACATGATGTCTGGCAATTCATCATGTTTCAGTAAATCTCATGTGTAGCGCTTGCAAACGAGTCACAGCAGGTAAAAACATGCGCACTAGGTTGTTGCAAAACGAACGCACTAAGCACGATTTGACAGAGATTTTGACGAGTTGGCAGTCAAAGTTGCACAGTTCTTAATGTCTGCCTGTGTAGGAACTGTCACAACTTCCTTCTCCTGAATAAATTCTTGTCCTATCTGTTGATCTCCCTGGTTTAAGTTGTTTCTTACATTGTTCCTCCTTAAGCCTGCAACCGATTTTATTTCCACCTTACAATACCGTGAAAGTTAACCACACTGTTTTGCAAAACGAGCTTGATTTACTGGCGATGCAAAGCGGAAAATGTTGTTCGCCAAATTTATGTGGTCTGCAAAATTACGCTGACAAGCCTGAAGGTCAGTGCACATATTGCATGGTAATTTCACTGATTACCCTTTCCTCTATTGACAAACATATTCCACGCTTAGAAAATTCTTAGCGTCCAGCATCTCAGTTAAGCTGACCTCGCTTTAGACCTAGGTGTCTCGCTCAATGGTAAACTAAGTTCCTGCTGGTGGGAAATCCGTCTTCAAATGTGAAATACACAATAGGGTGTGTTTTCCCCTCTTGCTATAGAAGACTGTTTTTCGCACACTGCTGTGGCCTGTGAGGCTCTTGTCAACCGTTTGAAGTTTACTGTACATCAACTCAAATTTGAGTAATAAATACATAATTTGTTACGGCCACCGATCTTACTCTGACTGATCGGCTGACCTTTTTCCTGTTGAATTTCTAAGGGGGGACGACGGCAGGGCAGGTGAAGCCCCCGCCACTGACAAGCGGGCTCTCCACTCATAGTCGCAAGGATGAGTTATTCACAGGGACAACAAAATGTCGTCTGGTCGGGCTACCAGTTGTGGAGGAGTTGCAAGGTGGAAAAAAATATCGTTTGCTGCTTTCCAAGAAAGTCTGTTTATTAGATTTACAAACTTGATCCTAGAACTTTTCAGTCTCGTGCACTAGCCGTGAAAGAAAGAACGAATAAAAAAACGTACAAAGCAGAGAACCTAGACCAAAAAAGCCCAACGATGTCCTGTTTATTATGCTTGCTCCTTTGAAAAGAACAGCGTAGCCTGGTATGCTGATTTATTTCCTAAGATGCATATTTATTGAAGACCCACTGCCCCATTGGGGATGCTGCTGATATTAATACGAGGCATGACATTGGGGGATTTCTGACAGGACTATACCAACGATGTTTGCTTTGCTTTTGCTCACTGGATTCCAAACATTCGCTCTTTTTTTACATATGGGTGAGTGCCGGCTTCACTTTACCACAGGCTCACGACGACTGCATCCAAAGTCATCTCCTTCGTGGGGCTGTCTTCCGCTGTACATTGATCAAATGAAGATAGGTCTCTGCATTGATGAATGATTAAAAGCCTGCGACTGTCAAGCGAACGGTCACCGCGTAATCAAGCGTGCATCTCCAACACAGTCCAACCTTGAACCTCCCATCCAAATACTCATGAATAATAAACGCTTTGTTTAATTCATATCTGGCGGGAAAGAAGCCACGGTGCCTTGTGCAACCCGTCCTTCATTATTACAGTCTGGATTGCACCATCACGCGGCACAAAATAACCTTCACTCACGAGCCTGGAAAATTCAAATGATGGGGAAAAATTGGCTGGCGACGCTTCTCTAACTTAAGAAGACTAATAGTAATACAGCTTACATCATCCCTCGCCTTTAGAATTCTTTCAAGGTTTCTTAAATTATTTCTTGGCGCAACGAACGTTATAATTCACTGCACAATGGATCAAGAGCCAAACAGGCAAGACAATGATACTGACAATCCTTTCAAGTGTTTGAAGCCAAATGCAAGGAAGGTTGATTCTGAGAAAGAAAAGGGTTCCGTATCTGGCCACCACGATTCTCGAGTTTTGTATATTAACCACCAAGTTTTAAAACTACTGTTTCCTTAGAGCTTCTGACTCCCCGGCTGAATGCATTTACTCGTCTTCAATGAACATAAAAGGTTACAATGGATGGTGTGGACATGTTACGTTTGGTGGCTTGATGACCGGGGCCTGGAACTCTTGCCCCTGAGGAAAATCAACAAGATGAGAACAATTTGCAAACCAGTTTACAGCGTGTATGTTTTACAAACATTCAGGTCCGATGGGTTGCTCAAAAAAAGTTCTTTTTCTACACAAAAAGATGATTGCGTCCAGTCTTGCTGTCGATGTATCCACACACAAGTCCATCATAGGTCAGTTCACAAGTTTGGTCACAATGATGTAAAGGGAGAACTACAATAAGAAATGTTTTTTGTCACATTTTTTACTTGTTACCTGATAGCTCTTGTTGGACTTGTGAGGACTTGGGCTCGACTCTGGACACTGCATCTGTCTCTGCATCGCTTTCCCCCCTACTTTAAGATACCTTTGGAACGGCTATATCCAGTTATTTATCCAAACAAACAGCATGTACACTTACCATCACAAATCGCACTTCTATCATAAAGCATTCCTTGATGTCATCCTTCGAATGCAACAGATTTCGGTGTGGAAAACAAGGTCACGTGCTCAGGGCTTATGTTTACGTCCGGACCCTTTAATGCATCCTTTTAGTGTTTCTGCTTGCCCGTTGAACTTCAAGGTAAAGATGGTTACATTCCCCTAGCCCCAATCGCTCTGCAAGTAATACCAAGCGTACGTAAGCCAGTCAGAATGCGAGGCATCGACCGCGACTGGCTTAATGAGCTATTAATTCCTTCACTGCACGGCTGAGCAAGGACGATATGCGGCTCCTGCTAACGGATGAATACACCGTGGTTGGGTAGCAGTTAGCTGCATGATACAATTACTACACCCTATCATGATCAGTTCCCTAAGTACATGCAGATGCATTCCGCTTTTTGTGTGCCATATTGCAGTTCGCCTCGGAGATCATGATAGCCTGGGTACCATTCTGGCTTGGAAACGTGCAGCAATTTTCTCTCTGTTGTTATGTACAAAATGTTTTGTGTACAGACATAAACGCACCCATATCAAGCATTTTTATGGAGGTACCACATGTCGCACTGCCAACAAATAATTGTTGTATGTCATTACCAAGCTGTTTCATTTCGTTGCTCGCATTTTTGTAACACAGATGCCATAATGTCATTAATACCTTTTAGCCATAGAATGCGATTGGAAAATTCTAAACCGGAGCAGGCTAAGGCCCTGGAAATTGCGATCCATAATTTTTCTTGAGAAGCCATTCTCGTCCCAATTAACTGACATTTTTTCTAATTTGGACAAAAGGCCATCGTCAGAACTACGTGCCTTTGATTTACACGATTGCTGGAGCTGTGATCCAAGCCAAACCTAAGTAATTCAGATACAGCCTGACATAAATAGCATTTACATGAATTACCTAAGGCACAGGGCCAAGCGTAAAGCGGAAATCAAACTCCAATTTATGGCTAGATTTATCCACTAACGTGCGTTCCATGCTGCCAGACGGCTAAACGTCACATCATTTTGCCGTAGCTACGGGGGTGCGGGGCGGCAAACAATACAAATCAACATTCGCCAACGTCAGCGTAAACAGAACTGAAAATACTCTAAAGGACAAGGTTTGACGACTGTTACATGAAGAAATTTGTGAGGCAATTAACACGAATAGCGGCAGTACTTATACGCCTAGTTCCATAAACATAGCGCAAAGAAACGTTTATACGTACATGTATCTAATTTCAGTGAGATTGACCGAACTTTATATCTTTGTATACTTTGACGACCCAAACCCCCAACCATAAGAGGAGATTCCTATGCTTTAGCTAGGAAACTGAATTATGGACTCTTCAAACAACCTTGTGTGGTAATTTCATCCCGAGCTTTGCACAGTGAGCTCCACAAAAGTGCTACTGGAGGTAATATTTGCGCAACCCGGCGAGAGATGCGAAGGTACAAGACACCGGGCAATTAGCAGTAGCTCCGCAAACATTACGCGTGCAAATTATGCCTCCCCTGAACAGCGCCCTTCCACAGAGAGTAATAACAGTCCGACAAAAATACCACCACAAAAAAATATCAGTCAGTGCAGTAATGGATCACCTAAAACAATACATCAGTCACAGTGGCTTGTCCCGCAGGAGGAGGGCAGGGCATGGAGAAATTCCCCCCCCCCACGGATTTTTCACTTTTATTTTCATTTCAATATTCATTTGTCCAAATTTTATTTTATTATTCATGGATCAAAATATTAACACCAAAACCCTAAGAAAACAACACCGTGACATAAAAGCCAGGATTCGTGGACCGTGAGTAAGGGTGTTTATAGTTTTCCTCCCTCAGCATCATGTCAAAAAAGCCCGAAGTCGCATTCGCTTTTGAATCCCCCCAACACCAAAACTGGATACGCTCTCGCTGCTTCAACAGACACAAATTCCTACGACGACCGCGTGGATTGGTATGATTCCAAACGAGGCACTCGAAACAATGCGGTGGACGCCATACTGACAAAGATTGACAAAGGGGAGGATAAACTATGTAGACCTTTATATTGTAGAATGTTGCACCTTAAGAATACTTACAGATTACATAAATATTTGATGATATGTTGGCTGCAAGTGATGGCCGTTAGGTCTAACTGGCTAAGAATGCGTATGCGGGCTTTGTACATGTATTCTGCTGAATGTTCAAACGCATCAAAATGGCCAGAGTCGCCATGGTTACTTTGTTAAGTCGGGCTTATAGTGAAGCACCCAATCAACCGCCTGTATGCTTCACCAGCACGCAGGCAAGGCAAGGACGGCTTGACTGAAATCTCGGTGCAGGAACTGGATCGAGTGAAACTGTAAATGACTCTGAAGATATGGAGCGCTGGCGAACCAGCAGCCCGGAAATCATTACGTAGTTTCTACAGCACTTACTGACTCTGTGCGCGAGTTTGAAATAGGTTGCATATAACCTGAGTATAACCTTGACCTAAAATCTGAAGGTTTAAATAAAAAGCCTGTCCCTGAATTTCACTAGAAAAGATGTTTTGCATATACTAAAATACTTACTGTATTGGTCGATCTGTACGTTCCCTAATATTTTGAAGTTGCCAAATGTTGTGTATTCATTTAGATGGAGAACAAGACTCCCCACAGCAGATCAACAGTCTACCAAAAGACCACTTTCGTATAGTACTTGCAATGTATAGGAATTTATCACGACCGTTTTGCCGAGTACAAAATAGGCCTACGTGTACAAAAGTTTCCTTGTTTGGAGGCTTGTTGAAGACCACCAATAACTAATTTTTACTGTTGAAATTAGGACTACACTCTTTCTGGCACAAACATTCCCAGAAAGATCCAAACTCATATACTCAACTCACCGTTCTCGAATTGCAGGTGTTAGTGTATTTTTCTGCATGGAAAACACGCCACTCCAACAAAGCCTCGCACCATTGATTCCAACATTGTGTCAATAACTGCCTTATATAGTTTCGTGTGTTTGATACCGCTGTTTCCCAAGCTAGACCCAAAAAGTCACAGCGATTTATCCTGCATCGGTTTCCTTCGCGGTCAGCCGGCATAATTAGGTCTGCAATGATTAGAACCAATTCGCTCAAACGAAGCCTTGGGGCGCCTTGCCTTTGTCGGGTTGAGCCAGACTGACGAATGCTGCTATTCGCAGTCCACTGCCTGTGGCTAAGTCTCTAATAACTGGGTATAACCCCAGGTAGCCATGAAATATGTATGTAGAATGCCCGCTGATGGCAGCGGTGTTTTTTTTACCATCTGTGTTTTAGCCTTCTGCCAACTCTGTAAAAGGAACGAGAGCGGCGTGCTTCATTAAAATGATACTTGAAAAAGGCAAGCATTTACATTGCAGATGCATTCTCCAATCGGCAAACCGCTTGCGGCGACGTGTCAGAAAAGGAGACTTTGAGGGATTTGGCCCTCTGCCAAACAAATGGTATCATTTGCTTCCGAATCAATCATTGATGATTTTTCCAAAGACGTGAGAATGACAATATTGTTGGCATAAATCACATACTTGGAGGTTTCGTCAGTGAAAAAAGAATTGGCAATCAATCGGTACACGTCTATGAGTTGTAGAAGCCTGTATAAAAAAGAGAATCCCTTCGTCTGCTCTCCTTAACGGCTCGCCCGGTGTGATTTGCTGCGACAAAACCATCCAGAGAATTGTAATTTGATGTGTTTTATTATTGAGAACAGCGTCTTCTGCCGCTTTGACTCGTTTTTGCTGTTTGGGTCAGAGTTCCGACGATGTTAAAGAGCAGATGGATAAACAATATGTATACAAGAGAGGCAATCCTTTGGTTTGCTTGCACGTGACTTCGGTATATATTCATATATATTCATTTATTCTGAAACCACATTCGCACTACGTACTACAGGTGTAAGAACTCATTACTTATTAGTATGCACATCCACTTGCCGCGTCTCGGACTTGGACGCTTTTTCTAGAGTGTAGCAAAATGAAAAAAAATTGGGTCAGGCTGACAGTGACTACGAGGATCCGAACACGGCTATAGTTATGCTTACGTATTACAGAAACGCGCCGTTTTTATACATGCCGGCGTTTGCCGGCATGTATAAAAATTATGGACCCACGCAACTGTTATGACTAACTTTCCTCAAATGCCCATAAAACAAATTTTAAAAGACACGTCTGTGAAAACAGCAATTACTTTGGAGATGGAAATATTCCCAGTTGTCAAGTGCCATGACATGACACTTGACGCCTGTTTTTAATTCCACGCGAAAGAAGCAATGGTTATTATTTCTCTTTCGTAATGCAGGAAAATGTACCTGCAACAGTGCTTGTCTATTTTGTGTCAAGCCCCATTTCAGTGAGCCTTGTTTATGTTCATTTATCAGACGGCTTTTTCAGGATTCCAAACAGCATTAGTTTCCATCCATACAACAGTTCTTAGTCCCCCCCCCATTGCTTGGACGCATGTTATAATATCGATGTGCAGTTTATGAGCGAGGCCCGAACACACCCTGCTGAACACACATCGGGCGGGTGAGCTATGATCGATTTGTTGATTGCCAGCCACGTGTATCTGGAGCACTCGATGACAGTGGGGCAGGAACACCTGCAGATACATCAGGCCACCGGCACCGGTCGTCTGGGGCAGCTCGGTGCCACATGATCCGATCCACAAAATGTATAAACCATGCACACTCACCTCTTTCAGAGCCTCCTGGGAAGGAAGGAAGAACGCTAACTCAATGTGTTCTTTCGTCGTCGAGTATTTGTTTTCAAAAGAAATCTCAACAGAGCGTTATACTTTCCGCTGCAGGTCCACTAGTACCTTGCTGCCCAGTCTCCTGGTTAAAAGGGGAGGCCTTCTCAGGTATATCAGCTGTGCACTCCATACGCCAGCCGAGTCTCCATCGGCGGTTCGTGTATCCCAGAGTGAACTTACGCCCTCCGAAATATTAAAAACTGGTTAATATAAGTCAAGCACCCGCGTTATGAGTTTTCCCCTTCTGATCGCCGAGGAAAGCTCGGGGATACGGCGAGATGATGTTATTAAAGTCGAGTCAAAATCCGAACAAAAAATCGGATCCCTGTCCGAAAGGCAAAATCTCCACTTGCCTGCAGCAGAATTATAAAGTGATCCAGCGTAGAAAACGTGAGAGTGTGAGGCGGCCTAGAGTGACAAATTGTGGCCCAGTCGA